CCCTGCCTTCTGCTATAACCCCCCCCCCCCAAATTCGCTTTCTGTGAACTAAGTTATTCGGGGATTTTTTATTCCTCCACAATAATGAGCCACCAGGCATTTTGCGTGAGCTATCTACCGTAAATAATGAGCCGAGCTTCACCTTTATGTTTCAGGTGCACCAATCAAGCATTTCTTCCTCTGCGTACGTTTTTGTTGGCAGGTTGTGTTGTGATTTACAGACAGGATGCGAATTTGCGCCTTTTGGTTCAGCATATCCAATTTCAACACATTCCTAATTAGTTACTTTTTTTACGACATGTTTGCTAGGGGAAGTGTGACTATTCACGCCGCCACCTCCAGCAAATCGACTCCAGACCGTATGGGGAACAATGAAGTGTGTCTATTCACGCCGTCACCTCCAGCAGATCGACTCCAGACCATCTGGAGGACTATGAAATGTCTATTCACGCCGTCACCTCCAGCAGATCGACTCCAGACCATCTGGAGGACAATGAAATGTGTCTATTCACGCCCCCACCTCCACCAGATCGACTCCAGACCATCTGGAGGACAATGAAATGTGTCTATTCACGCCGCCACCTCCACTAGATCGACTCCAGACCATCTGGAGGACAATGAAATGTGTCTATTCACGTCCCCACCTCCACCATATCGACTCCAGACCATAAGGAGAACAATGAAATGTGTCTATTCACGCCCCCACCTCCACCAGATCGACTCCAGACCATAAGGAGAACAATGAAATGCGTCTATTCACGCCGCCAACTCCACCAGATCGACTCCAGACCGTATGGGGAACAATGAAATGTGACTATTCACGCCCCCACCTCCACCAGATCGACTCCACACCGTATGGGGAACAAGGAAGTGTGTCTATTCACGCCGCCACCTCTACCAGATCGACTCCAGACCATAGGGAGAACAACGAAATGTGTCTATTCCAGCCCCCCACTTTCACCAGATCGACTCCAGACCATCTGGAGAACAATGAAGTGTGTCTATTCACGCCTCCACCTCCACCAGATCGACTTCAGACCATAAGGAGAACAATGAAGTGTGTCTATTCACGCCCCCACCTCCACAAGATCGATTCCAGACCGTATGGGGAACAATGAAGTGTGTCTATTCACGCCCCCACCTCCACCAGATCGACTCCAGACCATATAGAGAACAATGAAGTGTGTCTATTCACGCCCCCACCTCCACCAGATCGACTCCAGACCATAAGGAGAACAATGAAGTGTGTCTATTCACGCCCCCCCCCCCTTTCACCAGATCGACTCTAGACCATCTGGAGAACAATGAAGTGTGTCTATTCACGCCCACACCTCCACCAGATCGACTCCAGACCATATAGAGAACAATGAAGTGTGTCTATTTACGCCTCCACCTCCACCAGATCGACTCCAGACCATAAGGAGAACAATGAAGTGTGTCTATTCACGCCCCCCCCCCTTTCACCAGATCGACTCTAGACCATCTGGAGAACAATGAAGTGTGTCTATTCACGCCCCCACCTCCACCAGATCGACTCCAGACCATAAGGAGAACAATGAAGTGTTTCTATTCACGCCCCCACCTTCACCAGATCGACTCCAGACCATATAGAGAACAATGAAGTGTGTATATTCACGCCCCCACCTCCACCAGATCGACTCCAGACCATAAGGAGAACAATGAAGTGTTTCTATTCACGCCCCCACCTCCACCAGATCGACTCCAGACCATAAGGAGAACAATGAAGTGTGTCTATTCACGCCCCCACCTCCACCAGATCGACTCCAGACCATAAGGAGAACAATGAAGTGTGTCTATTCACGCCCCCACTTCCACCAGATCGACTCCAGACCATAAGGAGAACAATGAAGTGTGTCTATTCACGCCCCCACCTCCACCAGATCGACTCCAGACTATCTGGAGAAAAATGAAATGTGTCTATTCACGCCCCCTCCCCCCTTCACCAGATCGACTCCATACCATATAGAGAACAATGAAGTGTGTCTATTCACGCCCCCGCCTCCACCAGATCGACTCCAGACCATATGGAGAACAATGAAATGTGATTACTTCTGAAGCCAAACTGAACTCATTGTTGGACTGTCGTCTACTCCTCTTATGTTAGGGTTTATGCTGTGTTATATTCTGATTACGCTATCATATTCCATATTATAAATACATAATTTGTTATGTTAGGCTATGTTAAGACATTAAGAGCAGAATAGGCCAGGCTTAGGCTGCGTTTGATAGAAAGAAGAACATCTTGTGCACCAGGTACGTCTCTTTGGATGTCTGTATGGTAGTGAATCATGGAATGTGAATGCACAAATTAAAAAGAACCTGGAGGCGAGGTAAATTTGTCTTTTCAGACAAATGTTAAAGAATCCCTTGGACTGCCGGAGTAACTAACAAGGATTGCTTGAAGGAAGCTAATGAAGGCAGATCAATATATACAGCTATAAGGAAAAGACAAGCACATTGGTCATGTGATGGGGGGGGGGGGGTAGGCCATGGAGAATGCTGTAACGCCTGGGAAGATCAGCGGTATAAGACAGAGAGGCAGACCAAGAGAGATGATGCCGGAATGACTGCAACGGTGGCATGGGGGGGGGGGGAAGGGGGGGGGGGATTTTATCAGTGGAACTGATCCAAAGATAGGCAGACCACGGCAATAACCAGAAACATGAACAACAGACACAGAATAACCAGAAACATGGACAATAGACACAGAATAACCAGAAACATGGACAATAGACATAGAATAACCAGAAACATGGACAATAGACATAGAATAACCAGAAACATGAACAATAGACACAGAATAACCAGAAACATAGACAATAGACACAGAATAACCAGAAACATGGACAATAGACACAGAATAACCAGAAACATAGACAACAGACATAGAATAACCAGAAACATGGACAATAGACATAGAATAACCAGAAACATGAACATTAGACACAGAATAACCAGAAGCATGGACAAAAGACACAGAATAACCAGAAACATGAACAATAGACACAGAATAACCAGAAACATGAACAATAGACACAGAATAACCAGAAACATGGACAATATGCAGACACAGAATAACCAAAAAATGGACAATAGGCAGACATGGGAAAAAGCCAGAAACATGGACAATAGGCAGACAAGGGGAACAACCAGAAACATGAACAATAGACAGACACAGAACAACCAGAAACATGGACAAAAGACACAGAATAACCAGAAACATGGACAATAGACACAGAATAACCAGAAACATGGACAATATGCAGACACAGAATAACCAAAAAATGGACAATAGGCAGACACGGGAAAAATGCAGAAACATGGACAATAGGCAGACAAAGGGAACAACCAGAAACATGAACAATGGGCAGACACAGAACAACCAGAAACATGGACAATATGCAGACACAGAATAACCAAAAAATGGACTATAGGCAGACACGGGAAAAAGCCAGAAACATGGACAAAAGGCAGGTACGGGGAACAGTCAGAAACATGGACATTAGGCAGACAAGGGGAACAACCAGAAGCATGAACAATAGGCAGACACAGAGCAACCAGAAACATGGACAAAAGGCAGACACAGAATAACCACAAACATGGACAAAAGGCAGACACAGAATAACCAGATACATGGACAATGGCCAGTCACAGAATAACCAGAAACATGGACAAAAGGCAGACACAGAATAACCACAAACATGGACAAAAGGCAGACACAGAATAACCAGAAACATGGACAATAGACAGACACAGAATAACCTGAAACATGGACAATAGGCAGACACAGAATAACCAGAAACATGGACTATAGGCAGACACAGAATAACCAGAAACATGGACTATAGGCAGACACAGAATAACCAGAAACATGGACAATGGCCAGACACAGAATAACCAGAAACATGGACGATAGACAGACACAGAACAACCAGAAACATGGACTATAGGCAGACACAGAACAACCAGAAACATGGACTATAGGCAGACACAGAATAACCAGAAACATGGACTATAGGCAGACACAGAACAACCAGAAACATGGACTATAGGCAGACACAGAATAACCAGAAACATGGACTATAGGCAGACACAGAATAACCAGAAACATGGACTATAGTCAGACACAGAATAACCAGAAACATGGACTATAGGCAGACACAGAATAACCAGAAACATGAACAATGGTCAGACACAGAACAACCAGAAACATGAACAATGGTCAGACACAGAACAGCCAGAAACATGGACAATAGACAGACACAGAATAACCAGAAACATGGAATATAGGCAGACACAGAATAACCAGAAACATGGACAATGGCCAGACACAGAATAACCAGAAACATGGACTATAGGCAGACACAGAACAACCAGAAACATGGACAACAGGCAGACACAAGATTAAATGCTGATGTAGGCTGCACTACTCCAGGGTGGATGATACGGCTTCACCGTATCGAGCTTTCTAGTCCCTGCGTCTACTGGGGCAGCACATTACTGGGGTTTTGTACTGAAATTCTCACCTTAAAAGAAGACTAGAGCACTTGTATCAATATAGATTGCAGGGAAATAGATCTTTAACAAATATTCGAATATATTCAAAACGTCATGTTCTTATCATTGAGGTCCCAAATGAGACAGTAGAATTTCGATGTTTTTCTAGTGACGAAGGCTGACAATTGTTGAAGTGATGCATGACCCAGAGAATCCCCCGCTGAACTACTCTGCTCAGTGAAGTGGAGAAAACGACACGCAAGAGAAGATCGATAGATGAGATCGATGAGACATATTGGCTTTAATCCCGTCACAGCTGGTCACATGACCCCACACTGGCAGACGACAAGATGGTGGACCAGGTGATGTTGTTGTTTTGTTCTCACTAAAGGATTTGTGCTAGGGGTTTCTGCTCCAGGTTTATCAAGTTACTTCAACCAGGGATGATTTTTTCGTAGCCAAGATATCGTACCAACATCAACATGTCTGAGAACATAGATGCAGAGACTGTGTACGTGACGACACACGAAGATAGTCGTGTCATGTCGGAGAAAGTTCAGACTCTGGCAGGCTCCATTTACAAGGAGTTCGAGAAAGTGATAAAAAAATACGACGAAGATGTGGTGAAGGACCTGATGCCGTTAGTTGTGGGCATCCTTGAAGCTCTTGACGCCGCATTCGGAGAAAAACAGGAGATGGACGTGGAGATCGAGCTGTTGCGAGAGGACAACGAGCAACTGCTAACACAGTATGAGCGAGAGAAGCAGCTGAGAAAAGCAGCCGAACAGGTGGGTGTGCCTTTAAGTAACGAAGTGTTACATGTTGTCAAACACTTGTGTCGAATAGAACGGAGAAAAAGCTATATGTCTCTACATATTTCTCTGTCTGTCAGACATGTGTACATATTTTCCCATCTGTTTATTACTGTGCCCATTTAACTGTCCTTTGATGTGTACCTATTTTCCTAGTTTATGTGTGCAATATCACATCTGTTTATATATGTACATACCACTATGTCTGTTTTTTTGTGCACATGTCACCATGTTTTTTTTGGTATCTGTACATTTAGCATATCGGCTATCTTCTGAATAACGGTGCCAAATTATCGAGGCCGAAAATATACCCTAACAGGGCCTCAGTCACATGTAATCGGGTTCTCCTTGCAATAATGGTCGCTACTTGGATGGCAACGGCCGCTTAGTCAGAGTTCAGTCACCTGGCTGCAGTGCAATTACGGAGTGGACAAGGCATGAGTCACAAAACAAAGTGAGTTCGTCATTATGGGTAAGTACTCGACGTTACATGTGTTAACCTAACCCCAACCCTAACCCAAACCCTAACCCTACCCCTAGCCCTAATTATGTCATTTGTTTCGTTCCCTCTTTTCCACTCCGTAATTGCTCTGCAGCCAGGGGACTGAACTCCGACAAAGCGGCCGTTGCTGTCCAACTAGCGACCATTATTGCAAGGAGAGCCTGTAATCGAGAGACCATCAAGAGTATCTCCCACGCCGCTGCGCACGGCGTGGAGTGGGGCTAAACTAGAGATACACTCGGGAGATACTCTCTCCGGTGGTGGAAGTCCGCAATTGACATGTGACTGAGGCCCTGTTAGGGTATATTTTCGGTCTCGATAATTTGGGACCGTTATTCGGAAGATAGCCCATATTTCTTTGCCTGTTTATATGTACACATGTCTGTATGTGACAAACATGTGTAGGTATTTCTCTGTTTATGTGTGTACACACAGTTGCCTACCTGTTGAGCATGGCCATGTACATTTCAGAAATATCTGGAACTGGAGGACAGCATGGAGGGTGCCAGGAAAGAGCTGGAAGACAAGGTGGAAACTCTGGAGTCTATTCTCCGCATGTCAGAGATCAAATCCAAGAACACAGCAGATCTAGGTAATGTCACGAACAGTTTCCATGTCCTTGTGTCACTTGTTCAGGTGTTATTGTTGGTTGTAGTCGTTGTTGATGTGTTATTGTTGGTTGTAGTTGTTGTTGATGTGTTATTGTTGGTTGTAGTTGTTGTTGATGTGTTATTGTTGGTTGTAGTTGTTGTTGATGTGTTATTGTTGGTTGTAGTTGTTGTTGATGTGTTAATGTTGGTTGTAGTTGTTGTTGATGTGTTATTGTTGGTTGTAGTTGTTGTTGATGTTGAGCCTGCGTGGTGATGTGCGGCGTACCAAAGGTGACTAAGGGCATCGCAATGTAACAAGTGGCATCAACAACTTAATATGCCACTGGCCAAGAGTAACACAACATGATGAATGCTGAAGCTTCCAAACGTAGCGGAACGAGAACTCTCTTTAAAAGTTCCATTTGTGTATTGACAAATAGCAATGATCAACACAAGGAGAAAATATGCAATTAAAAATTCAGACTCATTCAAGCACATCAACAAAAGCCCGCTCGTACATCCATGGACTGATATGTCCTCACGACGGGTCGCAGTCCGACCTTGAGATCCAGACAGTTATCTTTGTCTTCTGTTCCGCAGTCTGAATAAGTTAATGTAAGTATACCGGCTTACTGCCGAACTGTGACAATATACCAGCTTTCTGCTGAGGTCTACAGTGGAGTCCCGGGGTAAAACGTCCTCTAGGATCCAACTGTATACAACGTCTGCTTCCGTGGCATCCCGGTGTAAAGCGTCCTCAAGGATCCACACGTCCGTCTCCTTCGGATTGTAAACATCAACTCTTACTCTTACCATATCATCTCGGGGTAAAGCATCCTCAAGGATCCAACTTGTTTATCATTCCTTCCGTGGCATCTCGTGACGTCTTATTTGCTCACTCAGTACTGGTGCGTTCTGGTGCACATCTGCACGCAACAGTACTGAGTGAGCAAATAAGACGTCAAAACAATACGTCAGGTTGTGAAGGAATTGTATTCTAGGAGATGAAAGTCGAAGTTTGACCAAGGCGGACGTTTGGTCCGGCCTTGGTGTGGATCCTTGAGGATGCTTTACCCCGGGATGCCACGGAAGGAATGATAAACAAGTTTCCACTTTTACAGTTTATCATCGTGGGGAAGGAACAGTTTGTGATCCGTTGCTTGATGGGTAACACTGAATATTTTCATTCCATGGCAGCATAGAATGTCTTTAATATTACAAATGTATCTAGCTTTCACGCCAGATCTTGTTAGATGTAGTGCCTGTGTTGTTGTTTGTTGTGGCTGCATTGTCAGCCTCATCATATCCTATAGATAAGATGTGTGAGTTTTTCTAATCAGGCTTAGTGAGTGATTGGGTTTACAGCCATAGCCTGATTACTTGTTACAGGAAACAGTTGTGAATCCCTGAGTGTCAGATGAACTCACACAGTTGTGTGCCCCTGAATGACAGGTTTACTCATACAGTTGTGTGCCCCTGAATGACAGGTTTACTCATACAGTTGTGTGCCCCTGAATGACAGGTTTACTCATACAGTTGTGTACCCCTGAATGACAGGTTTACTCATACAGTTGTGTGCCCCTGAATGACAGGTTTACTCATACAGTTGTATGCCCCTGAATGACAAGTGTACTGGTACTCACACTGTTGTTACGCATCTATGAATGACAGGTGTGCTCACACAGTTATGTGTCCCTTAGTGACAGGTGTGCTCACACAGTTATGTGTCCCTTAGTGACAGGTGTGCTCACAGTTATGTGTCCCTTAGTGACAGGTGTGCTCACACAGTTATGTGTCCCTTAGTAACAGGTGTGCTCACACAGTTATGTGTCCCTTAGTGACAGGTGTGCTCACACAGTTATGTGTCCCTTAGTGACAGATGTGCTCACACAGTTATGTGTCCCTGAGTGACAGGTGTGCTCGCACAGTTATGTGTCCCTTAGTTACAGGTGTGCTCACACAGTTATGTGTTCCTTAGTGACAGGTGTGCTCACACAGTTATGTGTCCCTTATTGACAGGTGTGCTGACAGTTATGTGTCCCTTAGTGACAAGTGTGCTAACAGTTATGTGTCCCTTAGTGACAGGTGTGCTCACAGTTATGTGTCCCTTAGTGACAGGTGTGCTTACACAGTTATGTGTCCCTTAGTGACAGATGTGCTCACACAGTTATGTGTCCCTGAGTGACAGGTGTGCTCACACAGTTATGTGTCCCTTAGTTACAGGTGTGCTCACACAGTTATGTGTTCCTTAGTGACAGGTGTGCTCACACAGTTATGTGTCCCTTATTGACAGGTGTGCTCACAGTTATGTGTCCCTTAGTGACAGGTGTGCTCACACAGTTATGTGTCCCTTAGTGACAGGTGTGCTCACAGTTATGTGTCTGTCCCTGAGTGACAGGTGTGCTCACACTTATGTGTCCCTGAGTGACAGGTGTGCCCACACAGTTATGTGTCTCTGAGTGACAGGTCTGCTCACACAGTTATGTGTCCCTGAGTGACAGGTGTACTCACACATTTGTTGTGTGTCCCTCAGTGACAGGTGTACTCACACATTTGTTGTGTGTCCTTCAGTGACAGGTATAGTCACACATTTACTATTGTTGTATGTTCCTCAGTGACAGGTGTACTCACACATTTACTATTGTTGTGTGTCCCTCAGTGACAGGTGTACTCACACATTTGTTGTGTGTCCCTCAGTGACAGGTGTACTCACACATTTACTATTATTGTGTGTCCCTCAGTGACAGGTGTACTCACACATTTGTTGTGTGTCCCTCAGTGACAGGTGTACTCACACATTTACTATTGTTGTGTGTTCCTCAGTGACAGGTATAGTCACACATTTGCTATTGTTGTATGTCCCTCAGTGACAGGTGTACTCACACATTCACTATTGTTGTGTGTTCCTCAGTGACAGGTGTACTCACACATTCACTATTGTTGTGTGTCCCTCAGTGACAGGTGTACTCACACATTTGTTGTGTGTTCCTCAGTGACAGGTGTACTCACACATTTACTATTGTTGTGTGTCCCTCAGTGACAGGTGTACTCACACATTTACTATTGTTGTGTGTCCCTCAGTGACAGGTGTACTCACACATTCACTGTTGTTGTGTGTCCCTCAGTGACAGGTGTACTCACACATTTACTATTGTTGTATGTTCTTCAGTGACAGGTGTACTCACACATTTACTATTGTTGTGTGTCCCTCAGTGACAGGTGTACTCACACATTTGCTATTGTTGTATGTTCCTCAGTGACAGGTGTACTCACACATTTACTATTGTTGTGTGTCCCTCAGTGACAGGTGTACTCACACATTCACTATTGTTGTGTGTCCCTCAGTGACAGGTGTACTAACACATTCACTGTTGTTGTTGGTTCCTCAGTGACACGTGTACTCATATATTTACTGTTGTTGTATGTTCTTCAGTGACAGGTATAGTCACACATTTGCTATTGTTGTATGTTCCTCAGTGACAGGTGTACTCACACATTTACTAATGTAGTGTGTCCCTCAGTGAAAGGTGTACTCACACATTTACTATTGTTGTGAGTCCCTCAGTGACAGGTGTACTCACACATTTACTATTGTTGTGTGTCCCTCAGTGACAGGTGTACTCACACATTTACTATTGTTGTGTGTCCCTCAGTGACAGGTGTACTCACACATTTACTATTGTTGTGTGTCCCTCAGTGACAGGTGTACTCACACATTCACTATTGTTGTGTGTCCCTCAGTGACAGGTGTACTCACACATTTGTTGTGTGTTCCTCAGTGACAGGTGTACTCACACATTTGTTGTGTGTCCCTCAGTGACAGGTGTACTCACACATTCACTGTTGTTGTGTGTCCCTCAGTGACAGGTGTACTCACACATTTACTATTGTTGTGTGTCCCTCAGTGACAGGTGTACTCACATTCACTGTTGTTGTGTGTCCCTCAGTGACAGGTGTACTCACACATTTGTTGTGTGTCCCTCAGTGACAGGTGTACTCACACATTCACTGTTGTTGTGTGTCCCTCAGTGACAGGTGTACTCACACAGTTTTTGTTGTGATTTCAGTGAATCGCTTAGAGGAACGGGAACAGGAAGCCAAGAATGAATACAACAAACTGCATGACCGTTATACTGAGGTAAGCTCACTTTGATTACATTAGTCAACAACTAAAATGTACTACAAATGAAAGTAACTGATCTTAACTAATTTTTTGTGCTGGAAATAAAAATGCCATTTGAAAAAAGTTGACAGGCTCTAGTTTTCAAGATATATGCTACTAATTTACTTAATTAAGGCTACCCCCGTGTGGGTTCCGGGGCCCCATTGTGGGGTAAATAAGAATAGACCCACTGCCTCCCCAAAAGCTATGTTGTAAGAGTCGACTAATTGGGGAGCTTCCTTTAAAGTCGGAGTGCATCTGCCGGAGAGGCAAGGAACCAACAGTCTGTATTCAAGAGAATGAGATCTGTAAAACTGATGCACACGCAACACTCAGGTTCTGGAGCAGGACTGCAGTCCAGAAGTGGACCAACAACCAGAACTTTACACCAGAGTGTACAGCTGGTGAACGTGAAGAAGAAGAATTAAGGCTAAATTATAGATATGACGCAACTGTTGTGGCCGGTTGTACAGTTTTTGTCTAATGAGCAATAAAACTGTAAGCAGAAGTTGATGATGCAGTCCTACCTATTGTTACATCACCTTTGTGTAGAAATATCTATCTCTGACATAATGGTGCCATTATTAGCTTTATGGATACTATCATAGTTATGTATGCCTAGGGCATGTCAACAGTGATGTTAACTTCTGTTATGTATGTGGTAAAGGCACATTTCTCTCACAAAAACTTATGTATGTGGTGAAGGGACATTTCTCTCACAAAAACTTCTGTTATGTATGTGGTGAAGGCACATTTCTCTCACAAAAACTTATGTATGTGGTGAAGGGACATTTCTCTCACAAAAACTTATGTATGTGGTGAAGGGACATTTCTCTCACAAAAACTTATGTATGTGGTGAAGGGACATTTCTCTCACAAAAACTTATGTATGTGGTGAAGGGACATTTCTCTCACAAAAACTTATGTATGTGGTGAAGGGACATTTCTCTCACAAAAACTTCTGTTATGTATGTGGTGAAGGGATATTTCTCTCACAATAACATCTATTATGTATGTGGTGAAGTGACATTTCTCTCACAATAACTTCTGTTATGTATGTGGTGAATGGACATTTCTCTCACAAAAACTTCTGTTATGTATGTGGTGAAGGGACATTTCTCTCACAATAACTTCTGTTATGTATGTGGTGAAGGGACATTTCTCTCACAAAAACTTCTGTTATGTATGTGGTAAAGGGACATTTTTCTCACAAAAACTTCTGTTACGTATCTGGTGTAGGGACATTTCTCTCACAAAAACTTCTGTTATGTATGTGGTAAAGGGACATTTCTCTCACAAAAACTTCTGTTACGTATCTGGTGTAGGGACATTTCTCTCACAAAAACTTCTGTTATGTATCTGGTGAAGGGACATTTCCTCAACTTCTGTTATGTTTGTGGTGAAGAGACATTTTTCTCACAAAAACAAAGTAAAACTACAAAGTGATTAAAAAGGCATACAGCTTGTATTTTGGCTGCAGAATAGAAGATCAAAATAAGAGCTAGGTGCGCCACACAGGTGCTGCAATTTGTGTGCAGCAAATCTTAAACTGTGGTTGATTAGCAAAAGGCAAGCTATGTCTTTTGCAGTCCCAATGATTTGGAGAGAGCCCAATGATCATCTCAACAACTCTTACTTTTGCATGGTCCCTCCATTTGGGACAGGCATATCAAAGAAGAAATTTGCTAAATAGGTAATATAATGGACACACATGAACAGATCAAACAAGGAGTGAGACAGCGATGTGTTTTGTCACCTGACCTCTTCTCTCTCTTTCTCTCTCTGTAGTGAGATGATATTCAGAGGGTTCACAGATACATAGGGGATTACAGTACGAGGTTATAATATAAACAAAATACATTATGCAGATGACACAGTATTGATAGCTGAAAATGCAAATGATCTACAACGATTACTGAACATTGTAGTGAGGAAGAGTGCAAAAAAAGGGTCTGTCTGTGAATATAGAGAAAAACGGTAATGGTTATATCAGAGAAAAGAATACCACCACTGTGTGACATTAGAATAGAGGGTAAAAAGTTAATCCAAATCAATAATGTGAAATATTTGGATACAATCATAACATCAGACGGAAGATCTGTGGCAGAAATTAAGATCAGAATTTGCCAGGCCAAGGCTGCATTTGACAGAATGAAGAACATCTTGTGCACCAGGTCCCTCTCTTTGGATGTCTGAAAGACAGTACGAACATATAAAACTTATAAATTGCTGTGTTATAGTGAATCATGGAGTGTGAATGCACAAATTAGAAAGACTTTGGAAGCGATGGAGATGTGGTTTTTGAGACGAATATTATGAATCCCTTGGACTGCCAGAGTCACTAACGAGGGTTGCTTGAAGGAAGCTAATGAAAGCAGATCAATGTATACAGCTGTAAGCAAAAAACAACCACTGTTCTTTAGCATGTGATAAAGGGGATGGGGAGGATATGGAGAATATTGTAACAACTGGGAAGATCAATGGTAGAAGAGGGAGAGGCAGACCAAGGGAGATAATGACCCGATGACTGTGATGGTGGCATGGAGGGATATCATCGGTGGAACTGATCCAAAGAACAAGGGACAGAGATCTCTGAAGATGCAGTTGGCAGGGCACATGATGATGATGATAATATCAAAGAAGAAGAAATGGACTTTGGGAGTATACTAACAAGAAATGGACTGTGGAGTAACCTAACAACCCCTCTGCAATACTTCCAGTACCACTTGACCTACCAGTGCCCAAAGTGCCAGAATTATTTTTCACTGATGAAAAAGAGGACATTGGTGGCTTTGAACCAACAATATTAGGCGACCCATATTTGGAGCAAACTACATCCTCAAAACCACACTTAATAACTGAAAGTAAACTGAATGATCCTGTTAGAGATTTGAATTTACCCAGCTTTTGGGGTTCCAGATTGCAACAGTGGAATCTTCTGGCAGGCAGAGGATGTTATAATTTTTGTATATAGAAACCGGCAGAAGCCGCTTAATACATATAAATACACACGCACGCACACACACACACACATATATATATATATTTTCCATAAAGAAGGTGACCATTTTGCTTTTTACAACATTTCTGGTCAAATCAATTACAAACTGGAAGAGTAAAGGATTTTCATTGATTCATCTGAGATGAATCTTAATGTTGTTTTGTTGACAAATGGAAATGTGTTACCGTCAATTCCAGTTGGTCAGGCAGTTCACATGAAAGAAACTTGTGAAAACATTTAGCAGCTTTTGAAGTGTATAAACTACGATCATCATCATCATTGGTCACTTTGTTGGGATTTAAAAGTGGTTGCTCTTTGGCTTGGGCTACAGGGTAGATTAATCAAGTACAGGTGCTTCCTCTGTGAATGGGATAGCCTTGCACGATGTGACCTAATGGAGGTGACCATCAGAAGACATTGGCCAATAAAACTTTAAAAGCCCAGCCCTTGTCGACACCAGCAAGATTTTGTTGCTATCCTTGCAATTTAAGCTGGGTCTTATGAAAAACTTTGTCAAGGCCATGGAGAAAACAGATGATGATTTCAATTATCAGAAAATTTAGAAGTCTGAGTGATGCTAAAATAAGCCCAGTTTGATTGTTTCTAGTGGTAGTTTTACAGCGATAAGCCTAGTTTGATTGTTTGTAGTGGTAGTTTTACAGCGATAAGCCCAGTTTGATTGTTTGTAGTGGTAGTTTTACAACGGTAAGCCCAGTTTGATTGTTTGTAGTGGTAGTTTTACAACGGTAAGCCTAGTTTTATTGTTTGTAGTGGTAGCTTTTACACCGATAAGCCCACTTTTATTGTTTGTAGTGGTAGTTTTACAACGGTAAGCCCAGTTTTATTGTTTGTAGTGGTAGTTTTACAACGGTAAGCCCAGTTTGATTGTTTGTAGTGGTAGTTTTACAGCGTTAAGCCTAGTTTGATTGTTTGTAGTGGTAGTTTTACAGCGATAAGCCCAGTTTCATTGTTTGTAGTGGTAGTTTTACAATGGTAAGCCCAGTTTGATTGTTTGTAGTGGTAGTTTTACAGCAGTAAGCCTAGTTTTATTGTTTGTAGTGGAAGTTTTACAGCAATAAGCCCAGTTTAATTGTTTTTGTAGTGGTAGTTTTACAGAGGTAAGCCCAGTTTGATTGTTTGTTGTGGAAGTTTTACAGCGGTAAGCCTAGTTAGATTGTTTGTAGTGGAAATTTTACAGTGGTAATCCCATTTGATTGTTTGTAGTGGTAGTTTTACAGTGGTAAGCCTAGTTTGATTGTTTGTAGTGGTAGTTTTACAGCGGTAAGCCCAGTTTGATTGTTTGTAGTGGTAGTTTTACAGCGGTAAGCCCAGTTTGATTGTTTGAAGTGGAAGTTTTACAACGGTAAGCCCAGTTTGATTGAATGTGGTTATCCAGAGATGGGCACAGTTTGATTTCTCTTCTTTGCGTTCACCGGCTGTTAACTCCAGTGGAAAATTCTGGTAGTTTGTCCACTTCTGGACTTGCAATCGTAGTTATGCATGGGTAAGTACAACAGTTTCGTTGATTGTAGTTACACAGAGGTAAGCACAACTGATTGCTTGTTTGAAAAAAAAAGCTTGCAGTGAGTGTTCTGGCACAAAAAGAGTGGAGTGTTATGTAATGTTATGTTATCCCAATTGCCGCCACCACACAATGTACATTCCCATACCTGCCCGGTCCTCCGATGCATTAGCTACTCCAAGAGTAAAGTGAATGACTATTTGTGTTTTCCACAGTTGTTTCGATCACACATGGACTACATGGAGAGGACAAAAGTTCTCCTGGGTACAGACAAACTGTCAGAGCTGACTGTCACTACAAGTCCTAGAGTTACGTATGTACAACATCTCACAAAATCTTGTAATGTACATACATCATCAGACATAATCTTTTATGTACATGCATCGTCTCACAGCATCGTGTATGTACACACAACCTCACACAGAATCTTGTATCATACATCATCTTACAGAATCTTGTCTGTACACACATCAGCTTACCGAATCTTGTCTGTACACACATCATCTTACAGAATCTTGTCTGTACACACATCTCTTGCAGAATATTATATGTATGCACATCTCACAGAATCTTATGTATACACACACATCATCTCACCAATGTCTATGTTCACAACCATCTCACATAATCTTGCATGTACACACATCTCACATATTCTTGTATGTACACACACCACCACACAGAATATTGCACGCACATACATCACCTCAGAGAATATTGTCCATGCCTATAGCATCTCACTAAATATTTTAAATGCCTATAGCATCTCACAGAATATTGTACATGCATATAGTACCTGACATAGTACGGTACATACATACAGCACCTCACAGAAAATTATACTCGCCTATAGCACCGCATAAAATATTGTTTGTACATATGGCATCTCACAGAATTTTGTATGTGTCTATAGCACCTCACAGGATATTCTATATGCCTACAGCACCTCACAAAATATTGTACATGCATACAGCACCTCACATAATATTGTATGTGCATACAACACCTCACATAATATTGTACATGCATACAGCACCTCACAAAATATTGTACATGCATACAGCACCTCACATAATATTGTATGTGCCTACAGCACCTCACAAAATATTGTACATGCATACAACACCTCACATAATATTGCACATGCCTACAGCACCTCACAAAATATTGTACATGCATACAACACCTCACATAATATTGTACATGCATACAGCACCTCACAAAATATTGTACATGCATACAGCACCTCACATAATATTGTATGTGCATATAGAATCTCACAGAATATTTACGTAGTTTTTGTCACCTTGTGTCCAGTGTTGGTTAAACCCTGTGTCCAATGTTGGTTTCACCTTGTGTTCAGTGTTGGTTACACCCTGTGTCCAATAATGGTTACACCTTGTGTACAATGTTGGTTACACCTTGTGTTCAGTGTTGGTTTCACTGTGTGTCCAATGTTGGTTACACCTTGTTTACAATGTTGGTTACACCCTGTGTCCAATATTGGTTACACCCTGTGTCCAATGTTGGTTACACCCTGTGCCCAATGTTGGTTACACCTTGTGTTCAGTGTTGGTTACACCTTGTGTTCAGTGTTGGTTACATCATGTGTCCAATGTTGGTTACACCTTGTGTACAATGTTGGTTACACCTTGTGTACAATGTTGGTTACACCTTGTGTACAATGTTGGTTACACCCTGTGTCCAATGTTGGTTACACCCTGTGTCCAATGTTGGTTACACCCTGTGTCCAATGTTGGTTACACCCTGTGACCAATGTTGGTTACACCCTGTGTCCAATGTTGGTTACACCTTGTGTTCAATGTTGGTTACACCTTGTATCCAATGTTGGTTACACCTTGTGTTCAATGTTGGTTACACCTTGTGTTCAGTGTTGGTTTCACTGTGTCTCCAATGTTAATTACACCTTGTTTCCAATGTTGGATACACCTTGTGTTCAGTGTGGTTACATCTTGTGTCCAGTGTTGGTTACACCTTGTGTCCAATGTTGGTTTCACCCTATGTCATCCCCCGTGTGGGTTCCGGGGCCCCATTGTGCGGAAAACAAGAATAGATCCACTCCCTCCCCAAAAGCATGTCGTAAGAGTCGACTAATTGGAGAGCTTCCTTTGAAGTCAGAGTGCATCTGCCGGAGAGGCAAGGAACCAACAGTCTGTATTCAAGAGAATGAGATTGTAAAACCGATGCACATGCAACATTCAGGTTCTGGAGCAGGACTGCAGTTCAGTAGTGGAGGAGCAACCAGAACTTTCCGCCAGAGTGTACAGCTGGTGAACGCGAAGAAGAAGAAGAAGAAACCCTATGTCCAATGTTGGTTGCATCTTGTGTCCAATGCTGGTTTCACCTTGTGTTCAATGCTGGGTTACACCTTGTGTCCAGTGTTGATTACACCTTGTGTCCAGTGTTGGTTTCACCCTGTGTCCAGTATTGGTTTCAGCCTGTGTCCAGTGTTGGTTTCAGCTTGTGTCCAATGTTGGTTTCACCTTGTGTCCAGTGTTGGTTTCACATTGTGTCCAATGTTGGTTTCACCTTGTGTACAATGTTGGTTACACCTTGTGTCTCGTGTTGGTTACCCCTGGTGTCCAGTGTTGGTTTCACCTTGTGTCCAATGTTGGTTTCACCCTGTGTCCAATGTTGGTTTCACCTTGTGTCCAATGTTGGTTTCACCCTGTGTCCAGTGTTGGTTTCACCTTGTGTCTAGTGTTGGTTTCACCCTGTGTCCAATGTTGGTTTCACCCTGTGTCCAGTGTTGGTTTCACCTTGTGTCTAGTGTTGGTTTCACCCTGTGTCCAATGTTGGTTTCACCTTGTGTACAATGTTGGTTACACCTTGTGTCTATTGTTGGTTACCCCTGGTGTCCAGTGTTGGTTTCAACCTGTGTCCAGTGTTGGTTTCACCCTGTGTCCAGTGTTGGTTAAACCCGGTCTCCAGTATTGGTTTTAACCAATGTCTAGTGTTGGTTTCACCCTGTGTCCAATATTGGTTTCAGCCTGTGTCCAGTGTTGGCTTCAACTTGTGTCCAATGTTGGTTTCACCCTGTGTCCAGTGTTGGTATCACATTGTGTCCAATGTTGGTTTCACCCTGTATCCAGTGTTGGTTTCACATTGTGTCCAATGTTGGTTTTACCCTGTATTCAGTGTTGGTTTCACATTGTGTCCAATGTTGGTTTCAACCTGTATTCAGTGTTGGTTTCACCCTGTTTCCAGTGTTGGTTTCACCCTGTATCCAGTGTTGGTTTGACCCTGTGTCTAGTGTTGGTTACACCCTATGTCCAGGGTTGGTTTCACCCTGTGTCCAGGGTTGGTTTTACCCTGTGTCCAGTGTTGGTTTTACCCTGTGTCCATTGTTGGTTTTACATTGTGTCCAGTGTTAGTTACACTTTGTGTCCAATGTTGGTTTCACCTTGTGTCCAGGGTTGGTTTCCCCCTGTGTCCAGGGTTGGTTTTAGTGTCCAGTTTAGGTTTTACCCTATGTCCATTGTTGGTTTTAACTTGTTTCCAGTGTTGGTTACATCTTGTGTCCAATGTTGGTTTCATTTGTGTCCATTCTTGGTTTTACCTTGTGTTGAGTGTTGGTTTCACCTTGTGTCCAGTTTTGGTTTCACTTGTGTCCAATGTTGGTTTTACCTTGTGTTGAGTGTTGGTTTCACCTTGTGCCCAATGTTAGTTTCACTTGTGTCCAATGTTGGTTTCACTCTGTATCCACAGGAAAGCAGGATTCAACCTGCGCCCAGTCAACGTGACATATGGTAGCACCATTGAACATCATCATCATCATCACCAAGGCATGACTGTGACTGTTGATGGTGTCACACAGGCAGCAGGCAAGGGCATCAGTCTCCACACTGAACTCAGTGGAGACCTGAGCAGAGACCAGGAGGGGCTGACTGACAGTATCAACATCACAGAGAGAGCCACCCACACACGTGAGTTTTCCTGTACTGACATGTGTCTTGTATGTGTGCAGCCCTCAGTTCTGTCTCATCTTGTGAGGCAGCAGGTGGTACACACCACTCACATGTGTCTTGTATGTGTGCAGCCCTCAGTTCTGTCTCATCTTGTGAGGCAGCAGGTGGTACACACCACTCACATGTGTCTTGTATGTGTGCAGCCCTCAGTTCTGTCTCATCTTGTGAGGCAGCAGGTGGTACACACCACTCACATGTGTCTTGTATGTGTGCAGCCCTCAGTTCTGTCTCGTCTTGTGAGCCACTCACATGTGTCTTGTATGTGTGCAGCCCTCAGTTCTGTCTCGTCTTGTGAGCCACTGACATGTATCTTGTATGTGTGCAGCCCTCAGTTCTGTCTCGTCTTGTGAGCCACTCACATGTGTCTTGTATGTGTGCAGCCCTCAGTTCTGTCTTGTCTTGTGAGCCACTGACATGTGTCTTGTATGTGTGCAGCCCTCAGTTCTGTCTTGTCTTGTGAGGCAGCAGGTGGTACACACCACTCACATGTGTTGAAATATCTCCATATGGGCTCCGGGGCTCAAAATGGAGGGGGGGGGGGGAGGGAATAGATGTGCTGCTCCCTAAACAATCATGACATAAAAGGCAACTTTTTAAGGTTCCCTTGAAAGGGGAGTGAATCTGCCTGATAGGCAAAGAACCAACAGTCAGTATATGGATAAGCCAGATCTGTAAAACAGGTATGTAAAAAAAATTCAAGTTCTAATAGAAGTTGAAAATCTGCAAGTGGATAAACAACCTGAAGTTTCTGCTGGAGTTTAAAGCCAGTCAATGCTAAGAAGAAGAAGAAGAATTATGTGGGATGTTTGTCTGTGTGTTAAGGTCATAGTTAATGGAAAAATTATCCTCATTACACACCGGACAAGTCCATGAGCGCTTGGATTCCATCTTCAGATATTCTCCAGTGGGTGGCGACTGATAACACCTTTTCTTTGTTGGTTTACTCCTACCCCTAGTTCTGTCCCCTCATCTGGGATGTTTGTCTGTCTGTATCCATCCCCTAGTTCTGTCCCTTCATCTGGGATGTGTGTCTGCATGTATCCATCTACTAGTTTTGTCAAATCATGTAAGATGTTTGTCTGTCTGTATCCTACCCCTAGTTCTTATCATCATGTGGGATGTTTGTCTGTCTGTATCCTACCCCTAGTTCTTATCATCATGTGGGATGTTTGTCTGTATCCATCCCCTAGTTCTTATCATCATGTGAGACTTTTGTCTGTTTCCATCTCCTAGTTCTTATCATCAAGTGGGACTTTGGTCTGTTTCCATCCCCTAGTTCTTATCATCATGTGGGATGTTTGTCTGTATCCATCCCCTAGTTCTTATTATCAAGTGGGATGTTTGTCTGTATCCATCCCCTAGTTGTTATCATCATGTGGGATGTTTGTCTGTATCCATCCCCTAGTTTTTATCATCATGTGGGACTTTTGTCTGTATCCATCCCCTAGTTTTTATCATTATTTGGGACTTTTGTCTGTATCCATCCCCTAGTTTTTATCATCATTTGGGACTTTTGTCTGTATCCATCCCCTAGTTCTTATCATCATGTGGGATGTTTGTCTGTATCCATCCCCTAGTTTTTATCATCATTTGGGACTTTTGTCTGTATCCATCCCCTAGTTTTTATCATCATTTGGGACTTTTGTCTGTATCCATCCCCTAGTTCTTATCATCATGTGGGATTTTTGTATGTATCCATCCCCTAGTTTTTATCATCATTTGGGACTTTTGTGTCCATCCCCTAGTTCTTATCATCATGTGGGACTTTTGTCTGCCTGTATCCATTCCCTAGTTCTTATCATCATCTGGGACTTTTGTCTGTTTCCATCCCCTAGTTCTTATCATCATGTGGAACTTTTGTCTGCCTGTATCCATCCCCTAGTTCTTATCATCATGTGGGACTTTTGTCTGCCTGTATCCATCCCCTAGTTCTTATCATCTTGTGGGACTTTTGTCTGTTTCCATCCCCTAGTTCTTATCATCATGTGGAACTTTTGTCTGCCTGTATCCACTCCCTAGTTCTTATCATCATGTGGGACTTTTGTCTGCCTGTATCTATCCCCTAGTTCTTATCATCATGTGGGACATTTGTCTGCCTGTATCCATCCCCTAGTTCTTATCATCATGTGGGACTTTTGTCTGCCTGTATCCATCCCCTAGTTCTTATCATCATGTGGAACTTTTGTCTGTTTCCATCCCCTAGTTCTTATCATCATGTGGGACCTTTGTCTGCCTGTATCTATCCCCTAGTTCTTATTATCATGTGGGACTTTTGTCTGCCTGTATCTATCCCCTAGTTTTTATCATCATGTGGGACTTTTGTCTGCCTGTATCCATCCCCTAGTTCTTATCATCATGTGGGACTTTTGTCTGCCTGTATCTATCCCCTAGTTCTTATCATCATGTGGGACTTTGTCTGCATGTATCTAACCCCTAGTTCTTATCATCATGTGGGACTTGTGTCTGCCTGTATCTACCCCCTAGTTCTTATCATCATGTGGGACTTTTGTCTGCCTGTATCTATCCCCTAGTTCTTATCATCATGTGGGACTTTTGTCTGCCTGTATCCATCCCCTAGTTCTGTACCATTATTCTGGGTGACTTTGTATCTGTCAAACGGGTGACTTTGTATCTATCCCTGAGTTCTGTTCCATCATGTGTCCATGAAACCATCTGACACATCAGCATCTGTGTCTTGTGGCATAATCTGTGCATACATGACATCATATGTGTCTTGTGACATCATATTGTCTTGTGACATCATATGTGTCTTGTGACATCATCTGTGTCTTGTGATATCATATGCATCTTGTGACATCTGTGAATACATGACATCATCTGTGTCTTGTGACATCATATGTGTCTTATGACATCATCTGTGTCTTGTGCATCATCTCTGCATACATGACATCCTATGTGTCTTGTGACATCTGTGAATACATGATATCATGTTTGTATAATGACACAGTGGAATCAGGCTGCAGTCTCTCTCTCTTTCTCTCTCTCTCTCTCTCTCTGTGTGGGTGCGTGCATGCATATGTGTGTATGTATATGTGTATATATATCTAGAGACAGAGAGAGAGAAAAGACTTGTGCTGTGCCGAGTGTTGGAGTCGTGACAGGTGCTGGATGATGTATCTGGGATGTGCCCAGTTTGACTTGTAGGTGTGACATTTAGGCAAGGGGAGCAGGATGTTGTAATGGTGGGTTGTTGACTGAGCCTGTGAGGTGTCATTTACTGAAGGTATCTGTCAGATAGCATGGGGCAGTAGTTACCCTCCGATGTATGCTGCACACACAGACACACACCTGACACATACATACACATGCCCACACACAGACATACACATGTACACACACAGACACACACCTGGCACATACATACACATGCACACACACACATACATACACATGCACAGACACAGACACACACCTGACACATACATACACATGTACACACACACATACATACATATATGCACACATGCTTGCACACATACATACGCACGCATACATACGCACGCATACACACACATATGCATGCATACACACCCAGAGACACACATACATATATGCACAAATGCATGCACATACAGACACACCTTATACACACATGCACACACATTATTGAACACACCACACGCATGCACACATACACATAGACCCACACAAAGGTGTGTGCCCATGTACACATGCACACACACACACACACACAAATACGTGCACACTCCCCCAGCCTTCCAGTTGTCATGATGACTGAGTTCATACTTTGTTGTGATGTTCATACTTCCCTCGATTGCTCCTCCTCCTGGGAATATTGTCTCTGCTGGTAAGTCTCTGTTTGGCTGGATCTGTCTCAGTGTTGTCTGTCACACTTGCATGCTGCTTTTTCCTTGGCTGTAGACACTAGATATTGTGTTGTGGTCAGTGTAGTCTCTAGCCTGGTCACTGTGAGTGGAGAATTACCTGCACATTCAGCCCACTTGTAACTGTCCTTTGTTTGCTAGCAAGCTGTTGTGGCATGATGCTGGCTGAAGCTGTGTCGACATATTTTGTTTGTGTTGTTTGTCTGATGTTATTTGCATGTGTAATGTGGTAAAAACGACAGGGTCTGACATCTGCTAAGGTGGAGACAAGACATTGAAGATTTATTGGCTGTAACAGCATATAATGCTGAGTTGAATCAATTCATGAACTCCAGTGATACCAGTAGCAGTCTGATTGCTTTAATTCTGAGCGGCAAGTATTGACCAGATCCCCTCGTCACTCCTGACTGCATCACTGTCACCAGACTGTGATGACCCACCAGCCACATCCCCTCGTCACTCCTCGCTGCATCACTGTCACCAGACTGTGATGACCCACCAGCCACATCCCCTCGTCACTCCTCACTGCATCACTGTCACCAGACTGTGATGACCCATCAGCCACATCCCCTCGTCACTCCGCACTGCATCACTGTCACCAGACTGTGATGACCCATCAGCCACATCCCCTCGTCACTCCTCACTGCATCACTGTCACCAGACTGTGATGACCCACCAGCCACATCCCCTCGTCACTCCTCACTGCATCACTGTCACCAGACTGTGATGACCCACCAGCCACATCCCCTCGTCACTCCTCACTGCATCACTGTCACCAGACTGTGATGACCCATCAGCCACATCCCCTCGTCACTCCTCACTGCATCACTGTCACCAGACTGTGATGACCCATCAGCCACATCCCCTCGTCACTCCTCACTGCATCACTGTCACCAGACTGTGATGACCCATCAGCCACATCCCCTCGTCACTCCTCACTGCATCACTGTCACCAGACTGTGATGACCCATCAGCCACATCCCCTCGTCACTCCTCTTTGCATCACTGTCACCAGACTGTGATGACCCATCAGCCACATCCCCTAGTCACTCCTCGCTGCATCACTGTCACCAGACTGTGATGACCCACCAG